CTTCAAATATTATAGAGGATGCGAGGCTTGTCAACGGTTCGGCAATGTTCAATTGGCGCCCGCCGCCGTGTTGAACCCTATAATCAAACCATGGCCGTTCCGAGGATGGGCTTTAGATTTCATTGGTCAAATTTATCCTTCGTCATCAAAGGGGCATAGGTTCGTGCTAGTCGCTACGGATTACTTCACCAAGTGGGCCGAAGCCGTGCCTTTGAAGAATATGACTCATACGGAGGTAATTGACTTTATTTTGAAGCATATTATTCATAGATTCGGTATTCCGCAAACATTAACTACGGACCAAGGCGCTTCTTTTATGTCTAAGGAAGTGTAGAGTTTTACCGAATCTTATGGCATTAAATTGTTGAGTTCTTCTCCTTACTACGCTGAGGCTAATGGACAAGCCGAGTCGAGTAATAAGACATTGCTGAAGCTAGTAAAAAAGAAGATTGAGGAACACCCGAAGAGGTGGCATGAGGTGCTTTCTGAAGCATTGTGGGCGCATAGGATATCTAAACATGGTGCCACTAAAGTCACCCCTTTTGAGTTGGTTTATGGTCAAGAAGCCGTTTTACCGGTGGAGGTAAATCTTGGTTCTCTTCGTTATATCAAGCAAGATGATTTGTCAAGTGAAGATTACTAGACATTGATGGGAGACAACCTTGATGAAGTCATCGATAGGCGCTTGAAGGCATTGGAAGAGATAGAGAAAGAGAAGAAGAGGGTGGCCAAGGCGTACAACAAGAGGGTGAAAGCAAAATTGTTTCAAGTTGGAAACTTGGTTTGGAAGACAATTTTGCCTTTGGGAACTCGATCCAAGGAGTTCGGTAAGTAGTCTCCTAGTTGGGAGGGTCCTTTTCGAGTATGCGGCATTGTTCGAGGGAATGTATACTTTTTGGAGACACTTCAAGGGGAGCGTTTTCAGCGAGCAATCAACGGGAAATACTTGAAGAAATACTTCCCGAGCGTTTGGCAAGACGCTTAGGAGGTACTATGGCCGATAATTGGATTATCGTCCTAAGAACAAAACATGCTCTATGCTTTTAGATTCACGTTGTTCATCAAAAAGGCAGGGGGGCATGTGTTTACACCCAAATTTGGCACCTAGGATTAAAATGGGAAAGATTGCCAAAATTTGGAAATCTGCTGGTTCCCTCCGAGTGGGCCGGTCTGACCGCCATGTGTTGGGCGGTCAGACCGCCAGTTGTAGGCCGGTCAGACCGGCGGTATGTGGCCGGTCTGACCGGCAGGTCCAAGTCCGACCCTGATTCGTCGGGTTTCGAGGTTTCCTTGCTCGGGAAGGCATGTTTCGGGTTTCCTTTGGTTTCTACCCCGAGTTGGACGTGGAGGAGGGCCTGTAGAGGGCAAGACCAACCCCTATATAAGGGACAAGGCCGGTTCATTGTAAAAATCAATCTACTATCAATCAATCGAATCGTTTTTTCATATTGCTTTAGTTTTCTCTTAGTTTGTCCATTTTTGTCGGTTTACGCCGTAAACCGTCCGCCGCCGCTGCGAGAGTACGACACCTCTTTGTAGGTTTGTCCTGAAAACCTTCCGTTTGCCCACGAGACGGGTAGTTATCTAGAAATCGGCTCCGCTAGCCGGTTTAGTTATCAAAACCCATCTAGGTTTAGCTCTTCGCTAGATCGAGGTGGTTGGTGACTCTAGGATCACCGCAAAGCTTAAGGTGCTGCGATCGTGCTTGTCAACTTGTCACAAAAAGTTGCCAACATAAGCATTTAACTCTTTTAGCCTGAATATGTTGTGATTCGGCTATGTATGTGTGTACCAACTACTGATCCAGGGATTGGTACTGATAAACATAGAAGATTCCCGATTTCCAAAATCGGGGGTCGACACCTCGTCATGCTGATACTGATATGTTTGCCCCCAGAGCCGATATTGTTGTTGTTCTTCAATTTGCCCCCCCGAGCTGGCGTCTTTGAACAATTAACTCATCAACTATCCTTTTGATCAAATTTTGCAATGTATCCAGCAAAACTTCAGATTGATCGAACAAGACACGATGAACTGCTTCATCTACTGTAGCTTGAAATGTTTCAACCATCGACTTAGGAGATTGTTCCTTCTTGGCATCGATTTCCTCTTCAAACATGTTGGGTGCAAAACTCGTATCCCACCGGGCGTGCCGAAAATGTGTTGATGCGAAAAACACACACTGGCCTAGGAGATCTGCTTAGCTCCAGTGCAGGTCCAAATCTTGATGAGGTGCGGGCGTGCCAGTCAGTTTGATCCTGCAACTGACAAGATATACAAACAACAGATCAATGAGCCAATCAGCTGATAAGCTGATGGAGTAGTTCCAGCAGATAGCCGATAACAACCGATGCCGATTCCAGCCGATGTTGATAGGGTTTTGAGCAATCGGCTATATATCTAATGTAGATAATGATATAAAGACAATCGGCTGATGATAATAAAATATAACAATAATATAATCCAATAGAAACCAATTGGGTAATAATGATATGACAGATAAGCATGGATGCAAAGGTGGGACACGAGTTTTGCGATCGGCTGAATCCAATATGTATGCAGTCCTTGTAAGCCGATGCAACATCCAAATAACTCATCGGCTGAAACCCCGATGAAACCCTTATTGGCAATCAAGAAGCAGGCTAGAAATTATGGTTCTAAGCACGACTTAGTAGATCACACTTAACTGATGCAGCACTGAGACTGTGTTTGATACTTGGGGTTGGGAACCCAACTCCACCACACGGAAAACAGAGCGGTCCATTAGCGCGTGATTAATTAAGTATTAGTTATTTTTTATTCAAAAATGGATTAATTTGATTTTTTAAAGTAACTTTCGTATAGAAACTTTTTGCAAAAAACACACCATTTAGCAGTTTGAAAAGCGTGTGCGTGGAAAACAAGGGAGAGTGGTTGGGAACCTTGTGTAAAGAACGCAGCCTAAGTATGAAAGGAAACATAATATCTAGACAATCAAGCCGTTTACTATTTTTTCAGGGTGGTAGATGCCTAAGCTAATCTAATCTAGCAACACGATTTAGCTGATGCTGGCAGAAACCCTAAAACGAGAAGCAGTCGACAGAGCTAAATTGATATGCTAAGACTAGATTAACAAAGACATATGATAAATAGGTAGGCAAATATATCATCCAAACCAGAGCAATCCAAGAGGTCGAATGTACTGATGCAGCCTTGAATGATGCCGACATAGGCGAGACAATTGGCTAGGCCGGCGGAACGTAGGACTTACCCCTTTGCCGGAGATCGAATTGAATCGATGCAACCCCGAGTCAGGTGCCAAATTCCGCCGGTTTGATAAGTAAAAACCTCGGGAAAGAGGGTGGCGATGTGCCGAGAGTAGTTGTATTTATCGAGAGATATATTACAATGACCCTGGGTGTACATATTTATACCCATGGGGAGATAGTAGTCCTTGTAGGACAAGAAAGAAACTTTCCTAAAGATAAAAGGAAAACACAAAATCCTTATAGGACACTAAATACACTTTCCTAAAGATCAAAGGAAACTAACAAACTATTCCTAATTAATAGATAACTTGCCATGCCGCATCCTCCTTGAACTCGGTCACTTCTGGATAAGCTTCCTTTAATAGATTAATTTCCTTAACCGAATATAGCAGGAATCTGACTTTTGGCGATGTGATAATTCTCTTAGGGCTTACCAAATTTCGCTATTGACAGGGTCTCGGGGAAGAGAGTGTATAGCAATGTATTATTTTGCAAAAAAAAAAAAACCTCCTTACTTTCCCTTTTCAGAGTGTGATACTATATTTAGAATTTGACCTCCTTCACATAGGATATACCAAGACATAGAGGGCTTTTTATGTAAGAGCCACGTGGTCACGGTCAAGGCCTATTCATCTCCTCCGGTGGCCAACACCTTCTTCCTCCTCTTCTTGACTTTAGAGGTGGCCATGGAGATTTTGACGAGGCGAGGAGAGGTGTGACGGTGACGGGAATGGAGATGACGAGGTGATTTGGGGGTGGCAGGGTGAAGATGGAAAGGAGGAGGACGGCGAGAAGGTGCGTAGGAGGCGCCCTATCACGGGCGTAGGGAGGGGAGAAGTAACGCGATTTTTCTGCAGGGACATGGAAGGACCTTAATGCAAAAAGAAGTCTCTAGAAGGATCAGGAAGAGGTTTTACAAATTGAGAGATCTGACGGCCAAAAACTTCCGGAGCGAATATCGGACGGTTTATTTTCTTTGATGACGTGGCGCTGTAATATAACAAGGAACCTAACAGCTATTATCAAATAAAGCAAGGACATTTTTGCAAAACTGCCAATTCCAACGCTCGCTTGGCAGCTAACGTTTCTAGGACCTGTCACCGAGTCACCGAGAGCCTCCATTGCCATCATCTTTATCTATGTCAGGTGAGCCGATGACCATCGCATTGTCAACCAGCCCAATCCCCAACAAACCATCATTCCTCCGTTCTCGCATAGCCGTGGTCAAATTCGGGCGCTGGAGCTTGCCTAGCCGCCACCATCCCTAGCAAGCTACCACCTAGAACCCCCTCCACTGCTCAATTTGTTCTTAACGTATCTTCACGAAACTACCTCATTGTTGTAACTTTATTTTGGGCGCCCTACAATGTACAATCCCTCTTTTGGATTAAGAGTGTGTTTAGTTCCTGAAAAAAGTTGAAAGTTTGAAGAAAGTTAGTAGTTTGGAAAAAAAGTTAGAAGTTTATGTGTGTAGGAAAGTTTTTGATGTGATATGATGTGATGGAAAGTTGGGAATATGAGGGAAACTACACACGGCCTAAATGAACCACATAGAACAAATTACCATTCAAACTTCCAAATATGTCTGTTTTATCAATGAGCAATTTGTCATGATGAATAATAATTCTACAACACGTGCTCCACTAGCCACTTGGCACTAGTAGCTATTGACTTGGCCACCGTTGTGGATGGCTTGCCAACTCACTATTGGACATGAAAGGACAGCGATGACTCGCCCAATAAAAGCCAGAGAAAACCAAGCTACCGACTGCTTGTTTGTTCCCTCTCTCCTCCTCCTCCGTCAGTCTGTCGTCGAACTCCATTGCGAGCTCACAAGGTGCGTAAATGTCCTCGTTTGCAAATAAATGGTGCTTAATTAGTTAGGCAGAAGTCATGTGTGCTTTAGCTGCTCTTCTGGCATGACTGCTCCTCTTCGTCTTACGCATTTAGCTTCGATCCTGATTTAATTTTGTAGGGGATTTCTCGTTGTGTTTTTTCCTTCTTTTTTTTTTTAGCGTCTGAGCATGAGTAGTCGCTGGTAAATTTTCCTGTTCGTTTGGATCTGATCTTTGGTGATGAAATTGTTGATGTGAGCCCACCTCGCTCGTCACTGTGACGAGCGCTGTCTGTCCCTCCACTGCGTCGCCCGCGGCCCGCCAGGTGCTCGTCGTAATGCGCCAACGCCGGTGCATGCCCATGTGCGCCGACCAGCCCACCGTCGATGTATTAACGAGGCCGGAGCTCCACCACAGAACGCCGTGCCATGGTGGTCGGTGCACCGCGATGGCCTCATGGCCAGACCCACCTCTTGGGCCAAATCTTGGACCCAATGGGAGCTAGTCTACGGCTGGATAATTGGCGTTGGCCTCTTACTATTTTCTAAGTACATATGCACTTGTTGCGGTTGATGCCTCTGGTCATAATCTTAAATCATGCGTACAGAACGTGCATGTGCTGTTTGTTGAGTATGTGGTCTTGGAGACTTGGACCCTTTTGCACAACGCCATGATCAGCTGTCTTGCATGTGTTCTATCATCGTTTCTTCCTTCATGCTGCAGGGTTCAGCACACCAACCACCAACCGTTGGGCTCGAGTTCTACCAACCTCCCTTTTCTAGTCGGGCTACAAATTTTCAGCAGGTGAGCTAGCATTAGATCATCGTATAAAATCACCAATTTGACAGTACATAAGTTGCACGGTCATCAGTTCTTCAGATCATTGCTTTCTGCCTAGCAGTAATTGTTAGTCTGATTTCTTTTAATGAAGAAGTTCATTTGACTCCCCTAAACTATTTTGTTAAAGGATAGTTTACTACCCAGACGACTAATAATGTTTTCGTATGAAATTTTGTGGGTTGACAGGTGGCTTCATAACTTGTTAATAAACATTTTTGAAAAAAAAAAAACTTCAGAACTTTTGTATGTTAGAAGTTAAACTGGTCTTAGGTGCTATAAATATGTACAGTGGTCATGTTTATGCTTTCATTTATGATCTCACACAATTTCAGTTTAAAACACATATTGTGTAAGGATAAACAAAAACAACAAAGCAATAAGAGAGTTAAAGCCAGCCAGTTTTAGTAGTTCCGGAAGTAAAGCAAACTTAAAATTGTTTAGGATTAACTGCTTCAATGAAATAATTTAGGGAAGTAAAATATACTTTTCCTTCTATTTTACAAGTGCAACCATGTTCCAAGAAATATTACATGCTTATCTAATACTAGTTTAAACTATCATTCAGTGCCTTGCTGATTCATTTATTATCTTGTTGATTCATTTATTATATCTTGTTGATTCATTTATTATCTAATACTAGTTTAAACAACAAATTCATTCGTTCCACAAAATGTCTCACAAAAAGCAAAGTGATATAATATAGTTAAGTGTTAAACAGTAAATCGATACTCAAGTTGATGTAAACAAGAAGAATTTGAATTGCTATTCCATCGCTTGGTGTATAATAATGTTTCTTAATTTTACTGACCCAAGCACTCCTCAACAGCATAGTATGATACACATATATACAATCTAATGAAAGAACTCACACTTTATCTCAAACTAGGAAGAAAGCCCACGCAGATGTGCGGGTAATTTATTTGTTGTTTAGAAAAAGAATACTAAAAAATCGTATCTCACCATATTCACTGCAAGAACATAGATTACATTATAATCATAAAAGAAAGAAATATTTATACCATAAAATTTTGATATACTAAATGATAATGTCTATTATATTCAAACAAATTCACTTCATCCCGGTTTTACGTAAACTCGCCTATCACCTTCTTTCGCAAACATACGAGTTAATATGGGTTTTGTTTTTTTCTTTTATTATACATCTAAGTCACCTACGCATGTTCGTGGGTAATATACGAAGGAATAATCCATATTGTCAAAATTATTTGTTCTCATTTTCTTTAACACTTTTAGTATGAGAATGGCATAATTACATAAGGATATAATATGTTTCCATGTGATATTTTTTATTGTAAGTATGTATATTTTACATGAGCGCTTATGATTGCCTTTTACATCGTTAGTAAAAAAAATACTTTCAAAAAGTTTGGTGGGATGGCATGAAGCGACGCCAAAGTGGCACGACTTCTTCAAGAAGATCGCCATGAGTGTCCTTACATATATGTACAATTTGAGAAAAACTTTAGTGCCTCAAACAAAGAAACAAAAAACTATCCGACAGAACAGATCGTATATGAACTCTTTTTTTATTCTTTTTTATATGAGTGCCTCGTAAGCAATATAACTTGGTGATTGGTAGATAGTGGTTTATATACAGAACTTATATACTTATGATTAGTGGGAATATACGATTGATATATTAGACTATTTTGTATTGATAAAGTATATTATATACTACATATTAAGGGATTTAGTACGTAAGCAATAAGTTGTAAAGTACTTATCGCATTGGCTACTCTCTTATTTATTGCGAGCACGTTTTCTCGATTGATCTAGGAATTTTTATAAAAGAAATTAATATCTTTTGATAATAATATCTAAATCCATCTAAACCATTATATTCCATATAATTAAATTTATAATCATGACCTACATTATATATATTTAAGTGCATCGTGCGTATTATTAGAAATATATTCTATATAAAAGTTTGAAAAAATAAAATAAATCTATCTTTGGCTTCATAATATTTAATATTTAATTAATCTTGTACTAATGACCAGTCGTTTCGTGTGTCCAAGATAAGCTCAGCCATTGAGATAGATCAAAGCCTAAGTTGGAGATAGAGGACATAGACACGGTGTCAAAAGAATATATAAGATCTTTAATTTTCAAATATTATATGAATAGAGAAAACACATAATACGTGAAAATACTTCGTGATAAATTTAGTAATATCATTTTGACATATTATTATTATTTACCTAGGGAGTGGAAAAATTTTTAAATTGTTCGTCACCATTAGAGTTGTTTTTATTTAAAAATGCAAGCCTAATTTAGATATTATATAATCTATATTTGTATTTTATTTATATTTTTTATGAATGTTTCGACGACTTGCCCCTAATTAGAAACTCTTAATAATGTATATTTTGCATAGTAAATATAGGCAGTTTGGTTTTTCATCTAATAAGTGAGGAAGAAAAAAAGAAAAGAAAAGAATGATGTGGGCCCAGTGTCGTACGTACGTATCAAAGTATGTACGTAGTTTTTGTTTTTCTGGAATACCTACGTGCATGTACAATGCGAGTTTTTAGATAAACTAGAAAAAAAATGCCTGTGCGTTGCAACGGAAAAAAGAGATGAGAAAATTGAGGAGAAGTTGAGAAAGATTTACATTATATAATTAATTAAATACAAATTTCCCAGAATACTTGATTTTTTTTATGTAGGTAGGTGTTTAAATTAATTTAAAAGTAAAGTAAGTGTGGAAATAAAATGATATGGCTGGATTTAATTTTTATGAAGTTCTCCATAATTAATTACACTTTCTAGATTTTTCTTGAAATTTTTAGAACTTAATTGCTAATTTTAATAATACAAATATCATTTCAGCATTTATTCAAATGAAAATCTAAATAAGAATCTGGGCCATTTTCAGCCCATGGCCTCTCTCAGCCCGCATCCGAGCAACCTTGGCCTGCAAGCACGTGTCCGGCCCAGTAAGAAAACATAAGTCTAATTTACCTCCCTTTACTCCTCTCTCACCGCCGTGTGGGCCCATCATCACAGGGTCATCCCCTACCTCCGTCCAGAGTTCCTCACCTTCCGACATCTGAAGCCGCCTCCACCGTAAAATCCGGCTGCATCCTTACAGATAACGTAAAATTGATTGAGGGGTTTCAATCCTTATGTTCTCTTTCCATTTTCCTAAAAATCGGAGCAAATCCGTTTCGTATATGGAATCAAGCCTTATCCGAACTTGATAAGCGACGTGATTTTTTTTACGAGCCGTGAGAGGGGAGGGGATCGGACTATACAGGACGAAAAAAATAGTGTGACTAAAGGAAAGATACGGATCTTTTAATTAGTTAAGATTTAATTGTATTTTTAATAATAGATCTAATGGTTAGAAATAATGGGTCCACCATATTGTAAAATTTATTAGTGCCACGTGGTAACCTAGTAGTCTTTGTGGGATGTCACATGACAGTTTAGTAGTGTTTGTAGGAAGTTGACGGTTTAGTAGTGTTTGTAGGAAGTTTAATAGACTTTGCGCATCATGCGTATTATTAGAAATATATTCTATATAAAAGTTTTAAAAAATAAAATAAATTTATTTTTGTCTTTATAATATTTAATATTTAATTAATCTTGCACTAATGACCTGTGTTGTTTCATGTGTCCAAGATAAGCTCAGCCATTGAGCTAGATCAAAGCCTAAGTTGGAGATAGAGGACACATCCACATGGTGTCAAAAGAATATTTAAGATCTTTAATTTTTCAAATATTATATGAATAAAGAAAACACATAATACCTAAAAATACTTCATGATAAATTTAGTAATATTATTTTGACATATTATTATTTTTTACCTAGGGAGTGGAAAATTTTTTAGAATTGTTAGTCACCATTAGAGTTGTTTTTAGTTTAAAATGCAAGCCTAATTTAGATATTATATAATCTATATTTTATTTATTTATTTTTTCATGGATGTTTCGATGACATGCCCCTAATTAGAAACTCTAAATAATTATATTTTGCATAGTAAATATAGGCCGTTTGGTTTTTCATCTAATAAGTGAGAACGAGAAATAGAAAAGAATGATATGGGCCCAGAGTCGTACGTACGTATCAAATTATGTATGTACTTTTTGTTTTTTTATACCCACGTGAACGTACAATATGAGTTTTTGAGATAAATTTAATTGTATTTTTTTAATAGATCTAATGGTTGAAAATAATAGGCCCACCGGATTTAAAATTTATTAGATTGCCACGTGACGACTTATGAGTGTTTGTAGGGATGCCACGTAGCGGCATAGGAGTGTTTGTATAAAGTTTAATGAACTTTTAGTATATAATTGATAGATTTTTAAATTGGACCTTGATAATTGAACCTCACCACCCAAGTTTGGTTCCCTGCCGGCAGTTTTTTAATTTCTTTTTTAATTAAAAAGATATCTTCCAAGAATTATCATTTAATCCCTCAATAAGTCGGAGCTTTATCTTAATTGACCGCTTTCTCTCTACCTACCTACTGTAGTTCTTTTTTTTAAAAAAAAAAACAAAAGAAAAGGTATCTTCCGATCTAAGACGTGACTCAGAAATGAGCATTTTTGTTTTTGAAGTTTCATTTTGAGTAAAGTGCACCGGTGGTCTTTAAACTTGTAGGGATGTGTCATCTAGGTTCCTAAACTCTCAAAATGCATATCCAATTCCCATAATTTGTCATAGTGTATTATCTAAGTTCCAAATCGTCACAACTTCTTTAGGATCTTATATGGCGTTGATGTGGCATGCCACGCGGACAAGACGTGACATCATTTTAACTAACAAATAGGACCTATTTATTTTTTTCCTTTTTCTTTTTTTCTTCTCCTTTTCTCTTTTTCTTTCCTTTCTTCCGCTTTATCTTTGAACCGAGTAGAAGAAAGGACAAAAAAAAAAAAAAGAATGAGAAGAAAGGAAAAATAAAAGAAGAAAAAAAAGAAAAGGACAT